CGGCAAGAAGTTACCTACACCCACCATGATAAGTGATTTCTCAGCTGTGTCTCCAAAGGTGTATCCCCATACCTGCTCCCTATGCCACATAGTGTGTGACCAGGAAAAGGTGAGTGCCCTCGTGAATGCCCATTTAACAGTGTCCAACAGTTTACCTAAACGAGTACCTCTGAGTAATAAATTGTAGTCCGCAATCTTCACCAGACAATTGTCGAGATGTTGTGTTTTATATATTTTTATATGGATGATGTTTCCTATACACAAAAAAGGCCAAAATCATCAATAATTAAGCCAGATATTTGTACTTCTGACAGCTACACGTGGCCGTCACCGTCTTGGATATAAGCTGTTGTCACAGCTGAAGTTCCCTTAAGTGTTGCTAACATACCCTACCACAGGGATAAAAAGAGAACTGTTGAGGTACTAACATCAGTAGGTAGGACTTAACAAGCTTTAAATAAAATTCACTGGGACTTCATGTGTTTCCCCACTTTAAAGAAAGCAATCCCACACTTTCAAATTACTCCCTGTTATATTTAATTACTCTTAAATATCTATGGAGTGCAGTAAATGGTTATTTGAAAACATAATTTCCTTCCTTAGGGATTATTAAAGTATTCTAAATGTTGCCACATCCTGTGAACTTTGACTAAGATGCCTCTCACTGACCAACTTTTAGTCAACTATTTGGGGACAGGTAAAAAAAACATTGGTGATGGCAAAGCCTCATGGAGAGTCCATGATGGTAAATCACAATAGTAATTAAATCGAGGTTTGGGTTTTTGTTTTGTTTTGTTTTTTTGCTTGTTTGGTTCTTTGATTGTTTGGGAAATCAACTTGCTAAGATGGCAACAACTTAAAGACCAATTTTTCTTTACTTCCTTTTGTCTCGTAATGATTTCATTGATACGTTAGAACAACCATTAGAGGTGGGGGTTGGTGTGTAGTCATCCGACAGCATCTGCGTATCCTCGCCCAAATTAGGAGGTGCTTCCACAAACAGAAGAGTCAGACGTTTGGTTTTTCCTCTTCAGAAACCTCAGGGTCTTGTCACTACCAGGTTTTCTTCAAGAGAAGAGGCAACTGTCTGGTGAAGTTAAATGATTTGAAAGCATTGCCACTATGGCAGGAGAAATCGGCTGTTTCTTAACTGTGAAACATGTTACTCCGCAAACTTATCAAAAGGTAAAACCTGGAACTGCTTCTTCAAAAAGTACTCTCCCGATTAGCTGTTTGATATAAAACTCCATCGAGTTATTGCTTAAACAGGATACTACTTCTTGGTTTTTTAATAGCTGTAGTAATAAACATGTGTACTGAATAAATCCTTTTAAAAAGCTGTTAAAACTCAGGAAAATCAAGGATAATGAAATAATTCTTAAAATTACTACTGTTAAATAAACTCTTTTACTCAGTGCTTTGGTTTTTGGTTTTGTGGTGGGTATCCCTGCAGGTTGTGTTTTCATTGAGACATCAAAGTTTGAAAATTGTTTGTACTGTCTTTGAAGCACCTCGAGGCAACTGTTGACATGATTTGGCGCTATATAAATAAAGTTGAATTGTCTGTAATCACCTATGTTTAGGCTTATAATTAATATAACTTTAAGAACCTGTATAGTTGAGAGACACAAACATTTCCCATATTTGACAGTTGGTTTAACTTTTCTTAAGAAAAACAAAAAGACAGAATAAGTAAGGTGGAGACAATCTAATCACTTGGCATAATGACCTTTTTAAATGGTTGAATATATTCATTTTCATACATCCCAGGATCTAACAGGGATTCCACAGCATAGGAAACTGATTGGTACATAAATAATGCTGTTCAGACCAATCCAGTGTCC